ATAAATTTATCATGAATGGTACTCTGCCGGACTCCATTACATCCTCTTGAGTGTTGAACATGTGTGGCGGCTCTCTGATCGTCAGAAACGAAAACATTTGAATACTTATGTAAGCAGAAAAATACAAACTCAACAACATGGAACCAATTTTAGAATTTTCTGCTTCAAAGTTTTTGGGTTGGGCAAACCATTCGCGCCCAAAGAGTGCTCCCCAGCCGTACAAAACATATTTGTTACAGTATTGACTCACCTCGGGAAAAACACAAATATGTACCCGATGACAGAATTTATTATATAAAATAATAAAAATGTAGGAGACATTCAAATTTTTTTTAACTAAATTTTTCCAAGATCTGTCACTTCGCTCTACAGAATAAATCCAAAAAATGCCTTCTCTTACGTATATGCCGGAATACGCTACTTGGTCTCCGTAGATTCTGAAGAGGCCTCCTGCACATATGTCAAAGCTTCCGTTTAGAACGAAGTTTATAAAAGAAATATTGACCTTTCTATTTGTAACAATGTAGTACCAATCTATGGTAGCGTTAAAATATTCAGCAACTATTTTTATAACTTCGACATCAGATCCCTCTGGCTCCTCGATACGGTCCTTTGTGTGAAGTAATTCCGTATTTTTTATCTGTGTAAAGGGGTATGACGTTGACATACCAACTTTTAGTGGGCATTTATTTAAATTTAATTGCGTTTTTGAAGGGAATACTTCACTTTTTTGTAAAGTGCCATTAAAACATGTATTGATGTGCATCAGATTATCAAAAATCTCCTGACATGTATGACGATTTACTGTCGGAGTAAAAGTGAACAGTTCATTTGGTCTTTAAAACACCCCTTGAAACATAAATGTCAGATGATTATACCCAAATAATTTACTTATTCCTTTAAAGTTTTTTAACGCAATTATCACTTATTCGCCCAAATACAATAATAAGATATTTCGCATTTTTATTTATAGCTTTAAAATCAAAGAAATGACATCAAAAAACACGTTTCAAAATGTTACGAAAATACCACGGAAATTGCTTTTTTTCAAATTCTTCAATCGCCACAGATATGTTTGTTTAGATTTTTTATTGATCCATTGCAAAATTTTTTTCTGTCGGTATTTTGTTTTCCATTAACAAAAAAACCACTTTTTCAACCCGGTATACTTTTTTGTCTTGCCTTTAAAATTTTGGGTATCTATTGCAACGCTTGGTTTAAACTTTAATTCCATTTTAACTGATCGTTTTTATACATTTGTGATAAATTGTCAAATTCTGGACTTCTATCGTTCTCAATAAATATCGCGAGTTTCCTTGTGCCACTTACCCAAAATACAAATTAATTGTGAGTAAATTAAAATGTACCACAACATTTGTAGGATATTTAAATACATTCTAGCACATAATACTTCTTGTTGAGCTCGTAGTTGGGCTGAAATGCTTCTGATTAAGTTGTATCCACACTGACTCTGTTTGTAATGTAAAAGTACCCATTCAAAACCTTTTAAATACTTACATAACATAAGAAGTCCATTACAGATATGTTTATTCTATAGTGGTTTGAAATGTTTGTCCCATTGTGCGACTACGGGAATCGAGGGGCGTTCGCCGGTCTGAATGATAGGCAGATTTATGCTTTGAAGTATTCTTAGCGGTCACACTGCCCGTTTTAATTATTGTCTCTCACGAAGACTCTAATAACTTAAACTTATTATTATCATCATCAACGAGCTTTTAATAAACCACTGTTGAATATAGGCCTCTCCTTAGAAAGGAGGTTTTAGAATACTATACCTCACTGGTCAATCGGGTTGGTATAGATTTTGTGTCAAGTTTACCTTCTCTTTGCAGTGCTGTTATCCTGTTAGTTTGATCTCTTAGTAGGCTCTTACGACATCCATTATATGAATAGTAACACTCCGTATTCTTATTCCGTCGCCACACTATGAATAACTAAAGCCTAACGATATATGTATGTGCAAAAATGATTGACTGAGAGGATACAAGACATTCTAATTCGTTATCTAGTGCTTTTGTTTAAGTTGCATGTATAACTTTGTACTTGTATTGTACAAATTACGTACATACGGTGGACAAACAAAAAACTTTGCAATACTTTCTTAAAAGAGTATTAGAATTAATTAAAATCTTTACAAAAAGCTTTATATTTATTTAGACTTAAAAAACAGGGGCGTCTGCGTGAATATCATGTATTAGTATAGGTAGAAGGTGTAGGGTGATAACAAGTATCTAACTATTTATCCCTTTTGGTCGGAAATACATTTCGTATCGTTTAACTACTTTTTTATGAACACGGATTGTACGTTTAGATACAAGTTAATGTCCAATCGCTGTTACTTTTGTATGACAATGTATTAAGATTTTAGGGTTCCGTTGCGCAAATGGCCAAAGAAGTTTATGTGGTCTAATAGTTAGCGTATGTGAAGATAGTACTTATCTAGTATTTTACTCACGATCACGATCACGCAAATGTCCCAACGGTATCGCAGTAGGTTTTATTAGTAGGTAATTAGTTATTGCATAACAGCCCATGCATAATATTTTTAGATTTTAACGAAGACTATTTCCGTACTGTCTCTGTCACTGTCAACCTGTCACCCTGTCACTTTTACGCGTAGTGGTACTCAAATAGATATTTCTTCAAACTTTACTTGGAGAACTGGATTTTATAACTCCTTTTTAATTTACTATCGTCCTATGTGAGCATGTTTTTAGACGTCATAAGCCACCGACTCCATTAAAAAGAAAAGGCCTTGTATTAGTTCGCATTATTATTCGTAACTACGGAACCCTAAATTGGTCGTGGCTCGGCAAGCACTTGGCCGGTTTTTATTGTTATACAGTAATAGCTTTTGCCAAATACCAAATTCCATCTAAATCGGTTTCCCCAAAACAAAGTTCAACCCAATTGAAGGATAACTTCTGGGTTAAACACTATCCTATATGCTTTCCCAAGACTCAAACAATCTGTATATCAAATTTCATCCAAATCGGATCAGTTATTAGTAGTCTATATCCTTTCTCAAGAATGAAACCTTTAAATACCAAATTTCATCTACAGCGGTTAATGTTTGCCCATACGAACTACCTTGTTACCCCCTTAAAGGATTTTTTCTGGAATAATAACTATCCTATGTCCGTTCCCAGGACTCAAACTAACTTTATACTAAATTCCATTTAAATCTGTTCAGCGGTTAAAGCCTGAAGAGGTAACAGACAGACAGTCACGCTTTCGCATTTAGAATATTAGTATGTATGGAACTAATCCCACCCACACGCCCACCACTGTAACTCCTGTACACCAGGATCCACAGCAGTGAGCCACGAACACACCGAGTTATGACACTCGAAAAGTCCCAGGAAGAAATTAAACTGTCTTGGAACCCGCAACGAAATTAATCAGAAGAAAATTGAGATATTGAGATATATAATCAGAATATTAGTATGTATATAATAAGTAAAATCAGTGCACTTATTTGTAGAAAAGAATCCCGCGCTAATATTTTCACAATTCGTGGATCACACAAAGTGTTGTCCCGCTTGGTAATCGACCCACAACACTCAGCGCAATAGCAAGCGGAACATTTGTTAGATATTTGTTAATGGAATGCAGTTAAACATTCACAGGCTGCATCACACCATATAAGAGTCCCATCTTAACCGTATCTATTATCATCATCATCATCGACAGCCATTACTAGTCCACTGCTGGACATAGGCCTCTTCTTACAAAATAGGTTTTGGCCTACTATACCACGCTGGCCAGACGGGTTGGTATAGGGTTTGTTTTAAGTTTTCCTTCTCTCTGCAGTGCTGTTGTCCTGCTTAGTTTGCTTCCGTATCTATTAGGTCGTCTTTAATTATTATTAACACCAGTCAAGTTTGTATTCTAATGTTATGTATATCAATAAAGTATACACCACGTTACGTACTATATACATTAAATTGTATAGTGTAGCTGAAATAAAACAAAATGCGTAACTGTCAAGATTTATTAATAAATATATTATTTTTACAATATAAACCGTTAAAGCGAGTATCAGATCTTTAGTTAAATGCATTAAAATATGTATAATATAATTATATAAAATATTTATTCGTTGTTTTACTTAAAGACTATATATAGCGACCATTTTTAAGGGTTTTCTTATGTATACCACGCTCCCATAGATGGCGTTGTGCCTTTCGGCTTAAAGTCGAAAGGTCGGGAATAACAAATGAAGTACAAATTTTATTTCACATGTCAGTTTAATCTCTTTTAGCAGCCCAAAATAAAATAAAATCTTAAAAAAATTACTGCTATATTTATTTAACAAATGCGGGTTGTCACCGTTTAATTTTATTTAATAAAATAGATTAGGTACACCATCACATTCTATTTACATATAATAATTTAGATACATTTAGTTTAATTTTCTGACAATGTCGGTAGCAGTGATGTTTTGTGACAATTGTTAGTCGATATTTTTGGATAGCTGTATAAATCACCTAAAAATAAAAATTTCTGTTAGTCGATATTTTTGGATAGCTGTATAAATCACCTAAAAATATAAATTATCCGTTCATCCAATTCATATTTCTCTAAATTGATATTAAATAAATGTTATAAAATCAAAGAAGACGAGTCGTCACTAAATGTGAACACTGCGTTCACATTTGAGAAAGATTTTTTTCAAGAGTTGATAATAATACCTCACAAATCTCACACACGGCCGTCTGATCCCAAACTAGGCAGAGCCTGTGCTATGGTAACCACACTGCTGATAAACATACTTATATATTTTTAAATATATACATATTATAGGTAAAATTACACCCAGACACAGAACAAATGATCGTGCTTATCACACAATATTTGTCTTGGGTGGGAATCGAACCCACGACCTCCGGTTTGGTTCGATCTTATAACTATATAATTTCTAGCGACGGCGTTATAACAAGTCTTTGGTGTGTCGTTTGAGGGGCGCGGAGCTCGATCTAAGCTCCGGCGCCTGCATCGTCGTCGTCCCCGGAACGCAACGTGCGACACGTGTCATCGTTGGGGCGGCCCAGGGCCAGCGTACGTCCCGCCACTCGCCGCTCCTCCGTCCGTGTCCGCCTCACCGTGTGTCGACGTACGCCTTGATGCGATGCGAGCATAACACGTCGGCGACGCACGTGCTCGTCGGTCCGTGTACGTACGCAGAGTGCTACGGTGGAGTAGAAGTCCAGATCGGCGCCGATGCGAAGACGAGGCGCTACAGTCGTAGTCGCGTTGGCCGTGACGGAGCCCCACGCAGTCTGTAAGGTGGCGCTGGTGTAAGCGGCCGCAGCGGCACGTAAGGCTAGCTCTCCACGGGCAGTTCGGTACCAGAGCGACACGTGCGCGGACGCATCCAACGCTAGCTGTAGCGCGGCGGAGTGGCGGGTGCGCAGGCGTACCCCAGCGTGCAGCGGTGAAGCGCTGGCGAGCGCCGTCAGCGGCAGCAGCGCACGCAGCACGGCGGTGGGCGTACTGGCCGTACCTGCCCACACGTGACCCAGCAGTTCAGCCTGAAACATACATATAATTACAACACGAGTTTCAATTACACCTAAATCAGATACGTAATGTAATTCAAATCCAAACCCACGTCACTCATTGCCATAACCCAATTGTTTTTTTTTAATAATTCAAATGATGATCAATCAAAAAATCACCTGTCCATTGAAAAGTGTGACGTCACGCATACGCGCTCCGCCTACGCTAAGCGCGAGGCCACCGACGGCTCCCTCCGCGGGCGGCGCGTCCTCCCCCTCCGGGCTGGTCTCCGCGTCGCCTCCTCCGAAAGCCTCAAGGCCGCGCGTGAACACGCGCACGGTGAGCGCGTCCACACTATGACCTCGCGAGTCGCGCGCGCGCAGAGACGTGACCCCGCGCCGCAGCAGGCCCCCGCGGGCCACCTGCACCGACTCCAGAACGCCGCGCCAGCCGGCTCCCTCCCATCCAGTCTCACGTACCAGCACAGATGATGTACCTGATTAATAACAAGGAAAATTTGATAAATGTAATAAAATAATTAAATAATCCTCCATGTATTTCTTTTTATGTAAATGTACGGGAAGTAACACGGTCAACAGAACATATTGCCGCCTGGTAAAAGGTTTGTAATAGGCGTAATAGCTGTTACGTGATCACGTTAATTCCCGTGTATGATCATAACTACCTATATATCTTGGAACACGAAATTTAAAAAGATAATATTCATATTCCTTTTTTATTACTGTTATTCTGTCTCATTTTTTTTCTAAAATCATACCGGTATTTTGATGTATGGTAAAGAATTTAAATATTATTCGACACGTTAAAAAAACTATGGACATAAATAATTTAGATATTTACACTGAAATTAAATTTGAATAAAAACTGACTGTTCATAAATAATTTGAGCAGAAATAATCTTATTTTTTTGGAGTTTACTCTTTATGAATCAATTTTCATGTTTCAATGCAATTTTCAATGTAAAATATGAAGAGTAAAATTTAGTGATCGAATGACCTCGTTAAGTTTTTTGTGCACCTTTCCGAATTGTTCTTCACAATTAAACTTTTTGAGGCTGACACACACACTTGCTTTTAATAAACAACAATTAAATGAATATTAATATTTAAATGTATTGTTTAATTATAATTAATAAAAAGAACTTTACTCGTGCGACAGAAAAGCATACTAACCAGAATGTGCCTGCGCATCCCAACCGCGTAGTACAGGTTTCAACATAGAAGGTAGACGCCGTAAGTCTTCGTGCTCAGGCATGAGGGCGGCCATGCGCTGCCATAGCACGCGTCGCAGCTCGTGAGGGCCCCGCTCATATAATACACGAGCGACGCGGGCGAGCGGTACTGGTAAATGTGCGCGGTTTTGTACTACTAGGTCTAGTGCCGCAGCGCGCAGTTCAAGCGGTGCGCGTTCGTCTAAAGCCAACTCCGTGAGACGGTCGAGGCGAGAGAACGTAAGCGCACGTTCAGGCGCAACGCTTAAAGCGTCCACCGCTGCAAGCGCCGCGTCTCCAGCCCCGGCCGCGCCGCTTACACCGCGAAGAGCGTGCTCTAGCAGTAAGTCAGCGGTGTCCTCGCGGTGCAAGTTGCCGACCGCCTGTAACCGCACCGTGCGGCACTGGTCATCCTGTTAAGAATTATTAATTCATAAAAATGTATCACCGACGTCAATGCGCTTATTATAGCATACTACATTGCAATAAGATGTATTCTTCATCCCTTAATTTTTCACCCTTAGATGTGTTTTTTTTTTACTACTTTAAATGGTTATTTAAATTTGTAGTAGGTACTGGTAATTTGACCACAAGTAATTCAATTTAAAAAAAGAAGTATTAACTGCTGTCAATTCATCATCACTTAGATAATAACTTTACCATAATAAAATAAAAATAAGGGTGTGACACACATATCATAGTCTGTAAAATCAATTTATTAATTTCTATTTTTTATAACAACACTGTTTACAAATTTAATTTCTGAGGAAACAGAAATGGCGTCACTCACTGGCGGCAATATAACATCATAACCGTGTGAACATAATGCTGAATTGAAATAAAGTTCAATTCTTAATCTGATCATGGAACTAACCTTACACCGTGCGAGAGAGCGCGCGAGTGCATCTCGGACCGCTTGCGAAAGCGTCGAAGCACCAGCTGATGAAGCGCGGTAAGCGGCTGCAGCAGCGGCCAGCAGTGCGCTGTCAGCTACGGGCTCTGAACGTGCCTCCTCGCCCAAACGCAGCACATCCAGTACCACAGACTCCTGTAAACAGGATGCCGAAATAACAGTTTATGTTACTGTGACTAGGCATTCAGATGTTATCCAGATGTTAGTTGGTAAGTTAGTCTGTGTATAAAAGTAACATGAAGACATCTAAGGCCAAATGGTTTTAGTGGGCAATCGTTGTATTTGGTACACAAAAGCATGTAATGTAATTTTTTTAAGCGATATACAAATTCTTAGTGTCATAAAAACTACTTAGGGATTTCCAATAGTGTCGACGAAAACCACATCCAAATAAAACACCAAAAACTATGTTTTAAAAACCAAAAGTTCCCTTATATACGGGTGTCGGCAGTAAAATATCGGCATCTAATCTCGACGACAGCGCCATCTGTTGAGCAATAGGAAAACCAACAAACAAATATTTTTTTTTTTTTATTTTTTTTTTAAAAGACAACTCCCGCATTAGGAATATATCCTGTGTCGCGGGGGACTTTACAAACATACATGAAACGGACACAAAGAACACCCAGACTCAGAACAACAATTTGTGGATCACACAAAGTATCGTCCCATGTGGGGTTTGAACCCACAACACTCGGCGCATTGGGAAGCGGCGTGGCGACCGCTTAAACCACTACGCCATCCGTGCAGTCATGGATTGGCACCACTACATTTTCAGAGTGGGAAAAGTTGTTTGTAAGGACTAAACTAATTTTTAGTTTAGTTTAGAGAGTTTTCAAACAATAGAATTAGCACCAATGTCACCTTAACATTTAGACTGCTAAATTTTAAATTTATTCAATTTTTTTGGAAGTTTATATTTTTTTATATAGGATTTTTTTTTAATTAGTAAAATGGAATAAACATAACTTACATCAGGATCCAGCGCTAGTGAGAACGCACCGAGGTACTCAGCGGACAGGTGCTGTATAGGGTCCTCGCCACTGATCTGCACGAATTCACTCACAGCCGTGTACGCTGCACGAGTGCCAGCCAATCCCAGAAGGCGGCAAAGCACCGACCTAGAAATAAATATCGTTGACTCTAGTTCTAATTGTGCTAACTCTTTTGAAAGTGAAACACGTTTCGAAGTATAACTTCGGGCCTTGAACTTTACAGTTTTGAGGTTTATCTATACAAAAAATAAAAATGAAGTGTCTATTGGTAATGTCAAAATACTCGCTCACTCGGTGAAAACCAACTAAAGAATTGCTAATCGCCAGTTTTCTGTGAGGCCCGGGTTTTTTTCCCGGTCGAGCCTGTCAATTTGTGCCCAAGAAAGGCTCTCCCTAAGTTACCTTAATACCTTCAAAATTGAGAAATGATCATACATATACATACTGTCGAGCCATAGGATTAAATGGTTCTTGCAATATGTAGATAGTTCGAGAGTCGTATGGAATGTGGAGGACAGGACCATCTAGTGACAAGTGACGCGCAACTGTTGTGATTTTAATTAATAATTTCGATACTTGCAGCGCTAGATGGCGCTGCACGTAACGGGTAACGGAAGATTACTGACACTGGAAAATTCTTATTTGTCTGGGACGGACTATCGAATACTAGGGATCATTCCAGTTATTTCGATAGCCCTATAAGAGCGGAGTGTGTTGGCCGTACGACTTAGTATTGTTTTACGACACGGCGAATTAACATCAAAGCGAATTTCTAGTGCGACTAACGAGTTATATATTGATTTCTTGTTTGTAATATTGAATGTTAGTAAATACAGTGCAATAAAAGTAATTAACCGACTACTTTTATTTATTGTATACACCGCTCGTAACAATACATTGCATCTGCAGATAAAAAGTAAACAGGCTAGGAGCAGTCACAGTAGTGTGTTACTAGCACTCAGAGGGCCAAGTGCGAGTTTATTTCACATCGTCTCGCTCTTGACAGCGAGCGCGATCGGCGTTGCGATTGGTGAAGATTTCATTTCGAGCCAATCTCAGCGCCGACCGCGTCACCATGACGATCGAGCAGATGTGAAATAAACTCGCACTTGTTTTAAAAAACATTGTTTTAGGAACTAAAGTTAACTAATCAACTTAGTTAACTGCACGGATGGCGTAGTGGTTTAAGCGGTCACCTCGCCGTTTTCTACTGCCCAGAGTGTTGTTTCGATCCCCACATGGAACAACACTTTGTGTGATCCACAAATTGTTGTGCCGAGTCTGGGTGTTCTTTGTGTCCGTTCAATATATGTTTGTAAAGTCCCCACAGGAATATAAACTTAATGCGGGAGTTGTCTTTAAAAAAAAAAAAGAAAAAACAAACTTGTAAAATCTTTCAAAAAAAGTAAAAAGTAATTAAATATATTCATATATAGACTACACTCACAGATGAGAATGCACGTCAGGATGTTCCAATAACACGCCCAAGCGCTGCGCCGTAGCAGCGCGAAGTGTAGGTAGTACACGAAGCACAGCTTCAGCTGCTTCCTCTGCTTCACGAGAACCAGCTTCGGGGATGTCGCTTTGACCAATTTTCTCCAGAGAAGCGAACAGTTCCTGCCAAAATGAAGTAGGTACTATTGCTTTATAATATTGTACCTTGTATTTTTAAAAGCTTTTAAATATAACGCACTTGTCAATTCGACCGCCTTTTTTGTACTTATATATTTGATTAATTCTACTCAAGGTTCGTCCTATTTAAATTTAAAAAAAAAAATTACCTTTAATCGGAAATTAATCAATGAAGATTACCTACAGCTTTTTTACAATTTATCATAATTTAGCCGATTTGAAGTATGTTTATACTACATTCTACATACGGATGGTGTAGTGGTTTGTACGACAGATTGTCACGCTATAGGTCACACCACACACACACACACAGGTTACTTTCATGTATCAACAGTGTATCGACATAGGGGGGATCAAAAGACGTATTTTTTACGCCTTTTTCATTCTGAGCAATCATACTACAATGAAAACATTTTAAGATATAAAAGTATCTATATATTGTTTTTTTTTTGTAACTTTAGTATGCAATTTATATCTCTTAAAGTTTAGGTACATGAAATAAAATTAAATACACAAAATAAATCCACTGCCAATCAGTTTAAACGTGGAACGCTTTAGAAATGAACACGTGTCTGAACGGATGTGTTATCTGTCAGAGTTCACGACCCTAACTTATCACTTACAGAGAAATAGTACTAACCTCATCGCTGAGCACGTCCCCTGCATCAGAGCCGGCAGAAGCGAGCGTTAACGGCAGCGGCTTTAAAGCTGCAGGAAGCGCTTGAAGCGCAATGGACAACGTATTAGCTCGGGATGGCAAGTTTGGAGATTCCACGCGGCGTTCCAGACGAGTCCATGCCCGGGCCTTGATCCCGAGAGTAGGATCTCCAAGTGTTACAAGTTCATCAGCGTACAGCGCATCTACGCCGTTTAATTTAGGATTTAGAGTATAGCGGGTTATACGACGTGCCTCGATTACTGTGCTGTCAATGTCTTCTATGCACGAGCGCTAGGATAAAAAGTATTTATATTATAGCATACGTAGTATTTGACTGGCCTGTTGGTCTAGTAGTTAGTGACCCTGACTGCTACTCCAGAGGTCGTGGGTTCGATTCCCACCCAGGACAAATAATTGTGTGATGAGCACGGTCATTTGTTCTGTGTCTGGGTGTAATTTCTCTATAATATGTATGTATTTAGAAATATATAAGTATGTTTATCAGCAGTCTGGTTACCATAGTACAGGCTCTGCCTAGTTTGGGATCAGACGGCCGTGTGTGAGATGTGTGAAAATATATATTTAAATATTATTAACTGTCAGAAGAAATTAACCACAGACATCGACCTGCAGTTAAATAAATCTATATAATTTCGATAAAATTAAGAAATCATCTTTTGATGCAATGAAAAGCAAAAACTTCACCCTTTCAATCGTGAAGAAATGAAAACACCGGTATACCGACCTTTTTTGTTTTCTTTAATAATCTTATAATATTTAGGCAATTGTTAATCACAGAGAGATGGGCAGACTTTAATGTGATTTCAACAGTACTATGCTATTTAATTTTTATAAGTTTAACAACGTTACTAGTAAATTGTGTATCTAAACTATTCTTGAATCAACTTGAACACACACAAAACATTTCATCAAAGTTGATCCAATCGTTAAGGAGGAGTTTGGACACATACACACGTTCAGAAGAAAGTATATATATATAAAAATAGAATGGCCCCAGTTGAACTCACCTTAATTTTCCTAAATACGCTGTCCGATATAGTCTCATACAGTGCTACACATGGGCCTGATACATCAGTCTCGTTGTACTCACCATCCAATATTTGGAACTAGAACATTTATAAAATAAAACTTACTATATTTACCTAAATATATAGATTCATTAACGCGGAGATTTATAACTGCTAGATCTACAATGTTGAATTTTTTTCAGATGATGATGTTTTTTTTTTTGCTGACTGCGAGTTGGTACTCCTTTCTTAGTGGGTACTAAGAAAGGATTTACGGGCATTTCACCCTTAAAGGGGTAAAATAAAAGTAGAATGATAGTGTGGAAACTCATCATTTTCAGTTAGAAACACGAAATGTGAGATAACTACGCGAGGCAAGCCAGGGGCAATAGCTAGCTATTTATAAATTAACATTAAACATAAAAGTTTTAAAGTCAGTAATGCATAATGTTATTTATAAGCTGAGATAGCAAATTATATTTACATAGTAACTAATTGTTATCTTATCACCACATAATTGTAATTCTTCACTAACGATTGTTTTATATAGATAATGCATTTGGTCTGTTGACATGGGATAATTAAAATAGAAATGTAATGATTTATTTGAATACTGTACAACTTCATTTTAAATATTGTTAATCTGAATTCATTACCATGAATTTGAAAATTTATTAATTAGAATATAGTTGGTTTATTATATCTTCTAAAAAATCACTAAAATTCACATCTGCAGTACTGAATGTCGCTAGACAATATATTATATTTTTTATGTAACTGTTAGTATACATTTTTCACATTACTTTACCACACAAAACGTTTTTAATTTATTACTATAAGTTACAATGTTCATTTTACTGAACTTCTTAAAGAAAATTACTTTAATGAATTAATTATTGAACTACTAACTCTACTTAAAAGACTTTATTATTATTTTTGCATTCTAAGATATATAATTTTCAATACTGTAATTCCTATATTTCTACTTTAAAAAAATATTATTTTATAAACTAATTACCTGAAGTAGACTGGCCAAGGACTTCTTATAGTTAACTACATCCAATAATTCTTCAGGATCCACATAAATTGATGAGACTTCTCCGTTCTTCCAGTGAGCATAAAATGTGGAATCCTTGTATGAGTCCCATACTGAGTCATATGGCATAAAATCAGCATTCACATGTTTGCCTCTCAGATATAATTTGGGCGAACGCAGCTACAAAAAATGTGTCCAGATACAAACATAAGAAAATAATACTTTTACTTAAAGTAGTATTTAGCAAGACATATCTTGGTGATTAATTTATTTTTAATTAACACAAAAAGTTTTGAAAATTTTTGTTAATCTCTTAAAATTAACAAAAAATATTTTTAAGCAAAAAAATTACTTCATTAAAATAATAGTTTTTTTTAGGATAGTTATCAAAGAATCATCTGTTTACAGCCAAACAAAGACCAATAAAATTAAGTTTCTTTATAAAACTTTTTTTTTAATAAGTTGTGATTATGGCTGACCTCAATCCATAAATAAGAAGTATTTACTATATCGTTTTTAAAGTTTATTGTATGTATTACTGTGAGCAAATTTGTATATTATGGATATATTTTTAACTTTTTCTGATTTAATTTTAAACTAAGAAATTATAAAATTAAACACAGACTAGTACCTAAATCAAAAATTAAGTACCTAAATCAATTGTTAAAATACTTATAATAGCATAATACGTGGAGGTACTTACATCGAACTTGAGAAAGAACTCAGTTTGTTGGTTCGACCATACAGGAGCCAAGTCCAAAATCGCTTTGATCTTGTAACCGACCTCCTTGTCCTTACGCGTGACATCATTCAGGAGTACAGTGGTTTCGACATCGTAGGATACCGGCGCAAATAGCTTCAATTCACCATGGTCGCCCCGCGGCACAGCCGCAGTTAGCCAGCAGCACACCCCCACAAACCACACAAACAAATACTGTCCACTCATGATTCTAGAACAATTACATTTAATAACATAAATATTAAACTTAATACCGGCAACTAATTTCGCATCAAGCGATTCAAACGATGCTGTGTGTTGTGTCACTGACCGGCTGACAGCGCTGACACTAGTGACATGTTTGACAAGTAAATAGTATGCGCAGGCGACGATTAAGGAATGGATGCGGGCGAGCCATGTCACTTCCGGGACCTTCCTAATCGGTCTACATACATAAAATTATATAGTTTCCTAGAATCTAAAGATTTCGGCTGATGTTTAGTCTCATTAAAATTTTATGCGACTTGAAAATTTTAATTGTTTATAGCTTTATCTTTTAATACTTTAACGAGGCTGCATACTTGTGTCACTACAGATTATTAAATTTTGTCATAAATAACAAGGCGTGCTGCCCTCTTTTAATCATCATCTCGATTAAGAAATCTGAAACCTGAGAGATTATTTTTAAGTTAGGTATATCTACGGGACATGATGATAGGTAAAGGAAACTAAAAAACTTTTTCGAAATATTTAAAACCAATTATAAACTATTGTGCTAACTATTCTATTATACATATTGTGAAATTGAGGGTAATTTTAAAAATAAGTACACTAATAATTACCCACTTTGGCAAATACTGTGAAAACCCGTATGATTTACGCATACATAATTAATTTATTTATACATTTTATGATAATTATTCACTGAGTACTTACTTACTGCTTATGATTTCTCTCTCGTGAATATACATAGATTGATTGTTAATCAATTGAGGTTGGTGTGCGCAGAAAAATAACTTACAAGTTATTTTTGTATTCCTTGATTATGTTCTTATTTTTTTCTAGATAAAAGGATAAATTTTTCTTTACCCTTGACTATCCTATATCGACTGAAGTTATACTCCATAGGTTTGGAATTCACCAACAGTAGTTTCGTGTTACTTAAGAGTACCCTACTCTTATTTAACACGAAACTACTGTCGGTTGCACCTAATAACCTCAATATTAATTGTGACATTTATATCCGCTTAAACTTATCATTTATAAAAGCTCGTAAAATATTCATTACACATTTCAATAACGCAGCACGTAAGGCCTCGCAGCTTTGCAAATCTCATCAACTCATTAATGATACGTTTATCTGCACTGAAGGAATATAGAATGTGAATTGCCAGAGTTAGGGTGAGGTTAGATAACTGAGCGAAGTCGGATAAAAGGTTGTAATGTTTTTAACAAATACCACACAGTTAACCAATACCTTTCTTTTACGGTTAATAACATGGCAAAGTTATTACTAAATATTACCTTTACGTATTCATACAGAGCTTACTTAAATGTACCATGATTAAGGCGAATTGAAATCGGTTACACATTTAAAAAAAAATGTTTATCAAGAATGTCACTAGGTATATACTCCGATTATCTGGATTTTCTAAATACGGTTAAAAAGCACACGACAACGCCTGATAGAAAACTAATGATTACTTTTTTACCCACATTGCTTTACAAATTTTAACAGGCGACTTTCTATTTAGGGCTTGCTATTACAAATCACGAATGTGTATTTGATGAATACGAACAAGTTCGCCTGAGAATTTAAAGTAAATGACTTTGTAGTTTACCCTGGTCAAATCTTCCTGTTTCTCTTACCCTACACCGGACCTATGAAGCGTCTTTTTAACCGACTTCAAAAAAAGGAGTAGGTTCTCAATTCGACTGTATTTTTTGCAAGTATCGTCACCCGCTAAAGTGAGACCCCACCTTTACGGCTTGTAAAACACTCAACCGCAAATACTAATACCATGCCTCATTTAAGATTGATAAGAAGTACGTGAAAAAGTTTTTGCAATTTCAATGTAAATTCCTTATCGGTGCTGTTTCAATGCATTACAAAATTTAGATAGCTTCTTTTAATAAGCTAAAAATATATTTAATATAGCTTTCAGGTTAGTAAACAAGCATAATGCTATAATTTTAATTATTTACATAATTTATACACAGAAACCCTGATAGTTATGTATCTTGAGAAACTTGTATCATGCAACTTCAACGTCAGTCACAGGTCACCTTTCCACCTAAATCGATCAGGAACTGGTTAATTTAAGAAAAACAAATTTGTTTGTGTAAATTTGCTAGTTCTCATGCCTGCGTCTCTAATATATTTTTTATAAGTATGTAATGTTAAAATACTTTAGATTGCAGATATAACTATTATATAAATATTAATTCAACAAAAGAGCTAACTTACTAAAATTAACAAATTCCTTTGTCACTAAATTGCAGTTTTAAATTCAAAAGCAGCGAAATGCTTGCGTGTAGATATTCCAATTAGGCTCTCAAAGACGGCAGTTTCTGACAGTGGCAATGTAAGCCCTTTATGACGAAGTAAGCCGACGTTAATTAAACACTACTCTTGGTTTCAAATTAAGTGTTTTTTTTTAATGGCAACGCTTTTGTATTTATGCGGTATGTCGTAAAATGCATTCAAATTGAGTTACAAAAAAGTGTAATCGTATTCCACTGCTTATTAGTCATGTAGGGTAAGGATTGTCAATCTAGATTATATCTATATAAATATTGGTTTGCGTATGCTTCATGAACTCAAAAATTTCTGAACCGATTGAGCACAAATTTTGACTCTGTGCCGACTCGCACATACGGTGAAACTTCTAATCCTGTATCGCGATATAAATAATTCTACACCGATTAGCATATACAACTTCCCAGCACTACCTCGCCTAGTTGAAGGATCCTCTCTTTGTACTGGAGCGACATGACACCTGTTCCTCCACAACACGATTTTAAAATCGCTTGAAAGATTATTTTATAAATGTTTCGTGTCAGTTTTAATCCTTCTTTCATATCAATGCCATAACAATGTGTCACAGAAAAGTGTGGCAGGTTATAACTAGTATATTATACGAAGTAAATCCGTCCTCTGAGTGACCCCCAGAATTAGAGGGTAGGGGGCTTGACCTGCGGTAAATCTCTGTAAAACGTAACTATAACGAACGAGACATTTAATCACACCATAAAGCTAAATTTAATATTTACGCATTATATAAGTATTTATCACTCGTTATGGGTAATAAGTAATAATGTAGCGTGGTCACATTACCGCATTTGTGCGTGCATAAATTTGAAGCACGCAAAAAGTTGTGGGTTTGCCTTCGCAATTAGCTTCCATAAGCTGTGTTGATCACGCATCACGTAGGTCTAATGTTTACACATAACAAGAGGTAAGAGAAATTTTACCGTAATTCATTTTATTTTATAAGGATGCCTATACCTTAACAAATAAAAAAAAAACAAACCTTTTCGGAGATAACAATAAAAAAATACATCATATATTATTATATTTATATACAAGTAATGAGTGGCCTTTTAATTCCAGAAATAAGTTCTATTAATAACCTTGTTAGACACAACAAGTTTAATTGAAGCAATTGTGTATCTACCCGCGCACTATAAAGTACATGTTTCTTGAATTAGTTCAAACCATTGATATAATACTTACATAGATGAGTAATTACCGCCTAAAATCGTTGCTACTGCACATATGTCCACAGGCATATGCGTAGCAAACGTCAATTCATTATTCAATGTGGCGTCAACCGAGTTGAACATAGCGACACATGACAGTAACAATCGCCAAAATGGCTAAATGCGTAGTGAAAGAATGCGATTCAAGGTCACAAAACATTAATAAATCATGCGGAATTACTTTTCACGTGTAAGTTTATGGTTTTTGTATTGATAATATCGTAAATAAGGCTATAATTGAAATAAAACACTGATAATTGTAATTTAGAATCAGTGTTACCATTAAAAAATCATTTTGGTTTTCCCACATTAGTGGGAGAATTTATAATTTATGAAATAATATGCTTTATACTGTTTTTAAACATTTTGCCAATAATAATAAAATATAGGAAGAACGGTAGTTGTTAGGGCTGGACCGATCCCTTTTTTTAGGGACCCGTTGAACGTTCACTGCGAGCTTGGCAGAAGTGCCAAGCTCGCAGTGCTGGAGACTTTTGTACAAAAAATTAATTCATTGTTTTTCTTAATTTATTATCAATTTTAAACAATAATTGTACAAAATAATAATAATAATAAGATACAGAAGGCAGTCCTCCTTGACACGGCTCGTATAGTGAGGAGGTTCCTATCTTTGCAGTCCTAACCACTGGTGTCCTGGTACCTATACCCGATATCGGTGGTCTACTATTTTTTATATTTTTAAGTGTATTTTTATTTCTTTTGTAATATATTTAAAAATGTAATTAATATGTATATATAAAATTTAATAAAGAGAATAATAATAAATGTTTATCATAAAAATAAAAATATAAAATAAAAAAGTAAATAAACATAAATAATTTTTTTTATAAAATAAAAATATATTTTTTTTTATTTGTTTTTTAAATTATAATAGAATTTGCAATACACCCTGGGGATTATTTATTATCAGTACAAGTTGATCATTCACTTTTATTATTAAATGCTATTATTTTTACATACGTAAAAATAAGAGTGTATCATGAAAGTAAAATATCCACACAAACTTATAAAAAAGAGTCTAAAAGACAATTGTATACAAAACTGATGCTTCACAGCGCAGTTTGATTTTACACTGAATATAAACCCTTTTAACCAAATATTTCCAGTTATTTTATTATTTATACCTATTCTATTCAATTCGAAATATATTATTTAGAATATTTAAATTAATTTATTTTATTACAAAATTGTTTAAAAAAAAAATTGTTTCTTAGTTGTTATGGGTAAAATTTCATACGGTAGTCAACACTGGCCCACCGTCGTAAAGTTATATCTTTGTCTTTGTCTAATCCGAGCGATGGTATTGTTCTTGTCTCGCGTGTAAATGAGACATAAATATGTTTACTTTCAAATGTTTAGTGGTATCAAAGCTACGTCGTCAAAGTTCAAAAGTGGTTACACTTTTTTCGACGTGTGATAATGAGGTTTGCTTCTCTAGTGTTGTTTTAACTCAATGGTTCAAACGATAAAATTGTTGGCAATCAACAATATTGTGGGTCCATCTATGTATCTAGGCAGTTGTGTTAGTCTAAATACTTGGTAATCTTTTTTAAGTAAAATAAAAATATAGAAAATATAGCTCTATAAATTTTGGCATCAGTCAATTTTTTTTGCAGCGTAGTGGTTTAAGCGGTCACCTCGCCCCTTCCTCCTGTGCTGCACAACACTTTGTGTTATCCATAAATTGTTGTTCTTTGTGTCCGTTTTATGAAAGTTTGTAAACATAAGTTATAATTATATTTTATGCCCTTTGTTTGGAATAATTTTGATTCTCGCGTTTTTCATTATAAATAACTTCAAAACCGCATTACATTTAGGCTCTCTAATGTGGAAAAAATTAATAGGAATGGACAGAAAATTTACACAAGTGATTTAGATAATATAAAAATATACATATTATTATACTTATTATACATAGAAACACCCAGACCAAATCAAACATTAAATGTTCATGCACACAAATGTTTGACTTGAGCGGGAATCAAACCCGCCAATCAAAACCAATCAAACCCCTTTGGAATAGCAGTCCGTAACACAAACCACTACGCCATTCGGTCGTCATATCTATCGAGGATAACAATCAAAGCTCAAAAACTAACGAACTAGAACTCATGCAGGCCATTAAATTATTGCAGATACTTTATTGGTATCGAAGTAAAGTTATTACTTCCCAAAACATAATAAAAAGTTTCTCACGTCTTTCGCGTTGTAAATAGTCCACTACGTATGCTTTGCTGTCTCACTTTGTCGTTGCATTTGTGAGTAATGAGGAAGAAAACCATTGATATAATACTTACATAGATGAGTAATTACCGCCTAAAATCGTTGCTACTGCACATCTGTCCACAGGCATATGCGTAGCAAACGTCAATTCAGTGTTCAATGTGGCGTCAACCGAGTTGAACATAGCGACACATGACAGTAACAATCGCCAAAATGGGTAAATGCGTAGTGAAAGAATGCGATTCAAGGTCACAAAACCATAATAAATCATGCGGAATTACTTATCACGTGTAAGTTTATGGTTTCTGTATTGATAATATCGTAAATAAGGCTATAATTGAAATAAAACATTGATAATTGTAATTTAGAATCAGTGTTACCACTAAAAAATCATTTTTGTTTTCCCACATTAGTGGGAGAATTTATAATTTATGAAATAATTTGCTTTATACTGTTTTTAAACATTTTGTCAATAATAATAAAATATAGGAAGA